GACTAATTGCATGGTAAGAGTTAGCATGAATTCAATCCTCAAAATGTGGTAATGGATTCAGTCCTCACTTTCCCACTTCTTCATCATCCTTATTGCCAGCCACACAAGTGGAGCTCTCTGTCCAACACTATAGCTCAGATGTGGGTCAGAGCTCACAAGTTAGAAGGAGACTCCAGCTTCTACTGGCTCTCACCGTCCCTGTGTGCTTGATAATTTGCTGAAACAACTCACAGAATCTCACAGAGAGTGTACTATACTTATGACTACAGATATATTCTAACCAAAAAGGATACAAACAAACAAAGAGATGCATAGGGTAAAGTCTGGAGGGTTCCCTGCATGGAGCTTCCATGTCCCAAAGTGGACCATCCATGGTCACGAACCAGAAAGCTCATCTGATCCTCAATTTTAAGGTCTCTTATTGCCTCCTCATGTGGCCGTGATAGATTACATTATGCCTTCTGAAGCTAGTCAACATCGGACCCCTGGGTGTTCCCTCTTTGTCTGTTCATCCCCCATTCCTTAGCCTCAGGCGTGGCCCACCTCTCAGGAACAAAGACCAAAGGTCAAATTGCTTTTTACCAGGCGACTCATCACCTCACAAGAATCAATACCCACTCCTCTAGCTTCTTGTCTGTCTTTGTAGTTTCTGTACATATCTGTGATCATCCATTTTGAAGACTTTGTATCTCAGGTCTTCTATTACCTGATGCTTCTCCAAGGTATAATCCATGCTTCTCAAGCTAGATTGTGCACATAAAGTATGCTCCCCAATATTTTACTTGAAATCAAAGTGCCTTTAGGATTCTCCATGGATAGTACCAATAACATTTTGTACATTAGATGGAAGTGCTGTCTCTTGAAAATACTCAGCTGTGTTCGTGGTTAAGGTGGCATAACCAAGAGCAGAAAGTCAAGAATAGTATAAACCCTGGGAAAACCAGATTAAAACAGTTTTTTTCTTTTTCCAGCTCTGTAAGATAGATATCAGAATGCAAACTACTCCCAGTGTGACTCTGAACTTCTTTTCCATTTTTTCTCCCTAGAGATTTGGAAATTTCATTTGGATTTATCTTCATCTAAACTGTGATATTTTCACACTGACCAGTTTTACCTAAAGGGTCTTTCCTCTTCTTTCAGCTTTGACTAATATGGAGCTTGTAGCCCAGTCACCTTTATTTTCCCTGTCTATGGGACCACTAGCACTACTCTTTTCTTCCCTATGTATTTATTGGCCACCTACCTTGATATTCAGCAGAAATTGCAGAAGGAGATTGATGTGGCTTTGGCCAATAAGGTGAGTGGATAATGTATGAAGAGGAAGAGCGAAGGTGGAGCCTGAGCAAGAATGCCTTCCCACAGTTTGTTAGGAGAGTTTTTGCAAAAAGCTTAAGTGTTGATTCTTTCACCGCCATCTTGCAGCTGCACCATCTGGAACGTGAAGACATTATGGTAACCCTGGCTGGGAATAAACAGCTGAAGTGTTGCACACTGGCTCTCAAAATTCTTTGGCCCAAAATTGACATACCTCACTTCAGCTCACAGCCCATTCACAAAGCTAATAACTTGGCTTCCTTTAATTGCAAATGGGCTGGGAAATGTGGGAAACTCAATGTATATTTTGTTAGCAGTGAATGTCTACCACACAATGCTATGAGATAATGACTATAATTATCTCCAGTACCAAATCAGAAAACTGAGTTGCAGAGAGATGAGATAACTTTCCCAGGGTCATACAGTTAGTCATAAAGAAGCCAAGATATGGTCCTTTGTACATGGCTCCTGAGCCAAAGTCTGAACCTGTACGATATTACCCCCTAATTGCAACATCAAATGATAGCCACATATTGCCCACACTGTTTTCAGATCTCTGCAAAGCTGAATTCTTTAAGGTGGGAAAAGACCTTGCCTTTGGGGCTGAATGACTTGTTTGGCAGTGAGAGAACACAAAGAGATCTCAGAGCTCACAGTCAAACCCTGAAACCACAACTAGGAGACTGTCCCAGCAAGTGAGAATGGGCCAAAAATGGGATACTGATTTTCTTTATAACTTTCCCCAGAGCTGAAATTGTGTGCCCTGGTATCATCTAAACATAATCTTCTTTTGTTATATTTGGGATAGAAAAGACTAGTTTCTTCCCAAATTACAGAGTTTCTATGTAATATTGAATTTCTCTTCATAGTCTCTCTCTCCTCTCCATCTCTGTCTCCCTCTCTGTTTATCTTAGTATATGTATGTAAGAAGAGTTAGTAAGCAGTATTTCTGAACTACAAAGTCTTATGTGAAATAGAGGATTTGCTCATTTACATTTTCTCTTACCTTGGTACACATTTGTGGCCTTTGTTTTTAAAGGGGAGAGTGGCGTACACATATCATACTTAAAAGTAATGATCATAGTCTGTTAGTCACATTTGTTGACAAGAGAAAGTCACACATGGTAATGCTAGGGATTTCATGCCCTGTTTAGAGAATTGTCCCAAAAGTATCCTATATTCATAACTGCTCCACACATCTCATGTGCCATTCAGCAGGTCAAAGGAACCTGATAGAAGTAAAAATGATTTAGAAATGTTAAGGTCCTTTACCAATGTAAATTATTCTTTGGAGATCCTAATACTTCAGTAGTACTGCCTAGGTTGAGTTGAATCTAAACTTTTGGAACTTTGTTTCTTTTTTCCCAGACACCTCCCACATATGATGCTCTGTTACACACAGTGTATCTTGACATTGTGGTGAATGAAATAGTCAGACTTCCACATATTTCTCCCACAGAGCTGCTGGTGGGTTTGAACCACCAATCTTTTGATTAGCAGCTGTGGGCTTTAACCACTGTGCAACCAGGGCTCCTTTATGTTACTATAGATACATGTATATCATAATTTTGTATGGTTGTATGCCATAACGTATTTAACCACTTTTTTATTTTGTGTACATATTCTTTTTTTTTCTAATTGTTCTGTGCTGTTTTCTTTAGCTTTCTGAATTTATTACCAACTTTAGGAAGTGTTTCCACATTTATTTGTTTTGAAGGTTGGTTACAGGCTGAGAACATTTAGGGGTTCTCATCCCTGATAGTACTTGTAGAAAGACTAAATCAAAGTTGACTAAGTCCTCGGTTTCCTGGACCAGAAGAATTCTATGGTTCCTCCAAACTCTGCAATTCCAACCCCTTTAGATTCATGACCATAAAAGCAGAAACCACTTACTGTACTTCTCTCTAATTCATTCAATAATCAAAGAGACATTAAGTGCTTACCATGTGTAAAGGATAGTACCATACAGTGAGAACTTCAAATGTTAAAAAAAAATAAAAATAAAAAAATAACTATCTATAATGGAGAATTTTTGACATATTGCCACCACTACCCTCCTCCTTATTGGCATATAACTTTGAAGTACATCAAGTTATTTAACCTGTAACAATTTTAGAATGTTCTCTAAAATACAAGGACTGTTGAAGAAAATCATACCTACAACACCATTATCCATTTTCCCCAAATCAACATTGTTTTTGTTAATATAACAAAATATTTAGGAATCAAATTTGAATTAAATTGGGTCTAACCTTCAAAGAATTTATAGGTAGAGAAGTAAATCAGTGATTATACTGTAGTAGAGTAGTATCACATTCCTGTGTAAATTATATAACTTTAACTACTCTATGACTTAGAGAGAGAAAGAAAGAGAGAGAAGAAGTAGAAATAGAAGAACGAGGAGGAGGAGGAGAAGAAAGAGAAATGATAAGAGAAGACAGAAGAGAAGAAAAGATGAGAGAAAAGAAGGGAGAAATAACAAAAAAATGGCAGAAGGAATTTTCTCCTGTTTCTTCCCTCA